GTTAAAAATCAGGTTACTCCTGAAATAACTTTGATACATTGCTACAATCACTTTTAACTGCCCTACTGTTTTACTGTATTATGATCTATAGGATAGAAAATATGGATGCAAGATAGGCATAAGCGCAAAAAAGTAAGGTATTTCAAGCTGTCTGTAATAGCTAAGAGAAACTGGGAGAAAACTCAGTCAGACAGAGTAGTTTTCCAGCATAATAACTTGTTCTCTGCTCTACAACTAAGAACTGTCTATTTTTGTGCAGTCGGAAATACTGTATAAACTCTAAAAGAAAATATATTTCCAAACAAGACTAAAATGCCATTCAACAACCATTCAGAGTGAAAAAGAAATTGAAAATTTAAAAATCTGTAATTTTTATTAGTACAGGCTGCAGTACTTTGAGCACTTAAACATATGTTAAACTTCTCACACATGTGCATCCCATTTTCTTGTCCTATTCCTATTGGAACACATTCTGCTTTTCCTTATGTATAAAGAATTAAACCAGAAAATGTTTCTGATATTCTGAAGTGTAAGGACAGTGTTTCCAGGAGAGCCATTAATCTAGCAGCAGTCAGCTGAATATATAGCTATCTGTGGGGAATATTTAGATAAGGTGCTGCATTGAAATCTAACTTCTCTGAATTCCATTCTTTGAAAATTTTACGTCCATTGGCGTAGCCAATTTCCATAAAGGAATTCCTTTCTAAAAATCCACACCAGGCTTAAAGTTTAAAGAGGAAAAAGAAACAAATCTCTTTTTTGCTGGATGCAGTTAGAAATCGGTCATCTTCATACTTAGACTGATAAGAATGAAATTAAGGAGGATTAAAGGATAAACAGGAGTTACTCTTCCACTCCCTGCACGGTTCAATTGTTGATGTCTGTAGTATTCCTCAAGTAAGTATATTTTAGTTGACAAAAACAATGGATTTCATACCTTTTGCTAGTCAGCTTCTGTTTAAAATCTCTTGAAATTTCCACAGAATTCCCCAAAATCACATTTTCTGGCAAAATACCAACCTGACTTCTACAGTCTAACGTTCAATACACAACTACTTTGCCTCAGTGTTTTCAGATAAGCCACTTAATTTGATTCCATTAAATTATTTTAACAAAATATTGAGATGCCTCTGTGCAATTATTAAAAAAAAAAAAACAACATAAGTTCCTCACAATCAGCTAAAACTGACCCCAATGTCACTGACCTCAAGAAATCAGCTGTCAGTGCAAGCAGAGATCTTAACTTCCGTTTCTCTCGTTTGTTAGATCTCTAAATGAAAGGCTCTTCAAAGGGTTATCTTTCTCTAAACACTTAAAGTTGTATTTTTAGCCCCACTGTTTTGGAATAATGCATAGCTCTGAACTTTGCAGATGCAAGATTATTCTTTCCATTCTTTCCTTCAGATTAGGAAGACTCAGAAGAAATAATTTGGACATTGTTGTTTGCTAATTATGTTAAGAAGTGCCTACAGTACATCAACCTCTTGTATCAGACCATGCTTGGAATTACAACTTTCTCAGCATTTGCTCACTCAGTCTTGAGTAACTGAATTATTCCCAGCCATTACCAATTCTTGGACTTCCCCTTTGAGACCTCAGTCCACTACACTGGGAAAGATACGCTTACTGCAGGGAACATGGCCACATGTTTCTGCATCCTTCCTGCCACATCTTGCAAAATGCTTAAGACATCTTGCAACAAAAATGAATGAAAATTTGAAAGCACAAGCAGAGCTGTGCTCTGATAATCCATGCAAACTCCAGTTCATGTAGGTGTCAGCTCTGAGTCCTGTAAATAACTAAGAGGTCTGTCTGGCTCCCAGCCCTACTGAAGGCAAAAGCAGTTCCTCCCCTCAATCCTGTAAGGTGCAGGTGTTGACTGCTCCCAGCACAGCAATGCCTGGGGAGTTTCTGCTGCCCCAGACTGCCATGGTGCAGCAGATCATTGCAAGTACAAGGCAGCAGCTCTACAAGCCTGCAAGAACTTCATGCAAATGGGACTGGTTATGTTTCAGGGGGCGCAGAATACCCCACCAGGACCATTTTGTTGTCTGCAATCATGTTTATTTAACTGATGATCTACATCTGCAAAAGCATCAACTTCATAAGCAATTATTCATCAAAAACTTACCTTCATGCTTTCTGTTTTCAACACTGACTTTCAGGATATTTCATCTAATAAATCTGAAGTAGACATGAATAAACAAACATGGTATTATAATAGCTTGTTAATTCTGCATCAAGACACATGATGTTAGATGTACACCCAGTACTGGAGCTCATGGAAGATGAGTGTGCAAAAAAGGAAAGATTATAATCAGAATAATGATATACGATCAGAAACCTCAATTTGTTTTAGCTTTATCTGTTTTGGATGTTTTGACTGAAAATTGTATTAATAATTTCCAAGTTGTGACTAAGTGATTTAAAATATGATGTCTCCATATGATATTTCAACATTCTGCACACTGTACCTAAGAACAATCAGACTGAAGTCTTTCTAATGCACTGTTGTGTCTCTGTTCATTTGTAAAATACAGCTATTCTCTCATCATTCTGTGTGGGACAAGAGAAATACTAAAGAGCTTTTTGCCATAGAAGATGAAGAAAGAAAAAAGGGAAGTTTTCTTCACAACAGCAAATAAAGGACCCAATCTCTTGGCATCAGTTCACTGTCTCAAATCATCTCTTGGAGAAGGAGACAAATGTTGTCTTCTGAATTACAGTCCCAGTAGAAACTTTTCTGCGTAGCAAAGCAAATCAGAAACATAAGGCCCTCATTAGCAGAAGCAGCTTTGCCAGGAACAGAATAGTGACTGGGAAATCATCTGATTCCTGGACATCCAGCATTTCAGCCATCAGCCCCAAAACAAAAGGAAGGGGAAGGCCAAGGGCTCTGGTACAAAACTATGCTCATAAGGACTCTGCTGCCAAACTTTTTCCAGGCACTGGTAGGACAGTATCTGCTTTCATTTAGGTTCAGCACCCTTAAAACTCCTCACCTTCCTCCTTGATGTGAGAGCAACTTCTGCAGTAAGCACATTTCCGTACCTCTTCCTGAGGAGGAGGGATACTTGTCTTCTCCTGGCTTCAGTGTCTGAAGTATCTGCCAATATTGGTGGATGTTGGTACTGCTGTACCAAGAGGTCTGTGGCAAAATGCAGGTTGGTGTTCTCTCAGTTTACTGATAATGTCAGAAATTCTACTGCCAAGTAATGACTTGCATAGAAAACAACACCCTTCTGCCTCAATCTCTGACATTCTTCCAGCAATCAGTCCTGGGCAGGGTGTTGCAGCATCATTCCAACTTTTGGCATGAGCACTGTCAATTGCCCTTCCTCCCAGTTCCTATCCTTTCCCTCAAATCAGAAAATGCTTTGTGTTACTGGAGACAAGGAAGCATCCTCCTCTGGTTAGAGATGCTCTAAGTATACAAGAAAAAGAATGAAGAATCAAAAATATGTCTAGCATTTGTATAGGTTATACATACATACACACACATATATATGTAATTTGTATGGATCTAGCTTCTTATCCAAAATTTCTTACATGTAAATAAGGGAGCATTTGGATTGTGGTTTGGGATAGGTATCTCTACAAATGTTTCTTTTCAGCACTTAGCACTGTAATAGTATGTAACTATCTGGGCAAGCCCTTTACAGGTGATGTTCTTAAACCTTGAGTTAGTTTATTAGTGGTGCTAAACTAAATTGAGTGAAACAGTTAAACCTAATGCATTTTCTGTGAGCAGTTTCCAAACAGAGAAAATTATTGTCCTAATAAGTATTGATAAATTGAGTATCAGTATGAAGCAAAACCAAGTGTTTACAAAATTTTCAGCAAATGAGTTAATATTGAGACACATATTATGACCTCTTGGAAAAGAGAGTATATATATTGGTAACAAGCTTCCAAAGCAAAGTGGATATGTAGCGCTGACGGATTTTTCTTTTCATCAATAAATTGTGGAGGAAATTGCAGAATCTATATTAATCTTGCCCTTTGTCACTTCTTGCTGTGAGATTTCATTTCATTAATATTCCTTGAAAGAAGAGGTTTTAAAAACCAGAATGACCTGGATCCCCAGTGGTGAAAGGTGAAGTGGGCTGTATTTGGAATCGCCTCTGCAGAAAGGGAACACCTCAATAAATGCTCTGCGTGACCAGTTCTGACAGAGGATTGTGTATCTGCCAGTGCAACCTACATTTTTTACACTAGCACAAGTAAGAATAAATATTATCTCCCCTCATGTGACAGACCTTTGATAAAGCAGAATTGGCCTGGTTGATTAGGAGTATGTGTCAAACACAGATAATGGGGGAATCCCTTTCAGCAGCAGCACAGCACCTCAGCAACCATAACAAGGCAAATTTAACGAGCCTTCTGTTTTTCAAGAGATATTAATTGCAGTCCTGTCACATAAGATACAATTCAAGATAAAATACATAAAAAGGTGGGGGGGTGTTGGGGAGGGTAGATAAATATGATTAAGAACCACAATGGTACAGCCAGGACGAATATAACGCCCCCTACTGGCTGGACAATTACCCTCACCTACAACGGGGTCCAAAAGCCGAATGGATTCTCCCATGTCACCCCCCAGAATGTATGGTTCACCCCACATCTGTAACCCTCCCCTGAACCATCAGGTGCCTGTGACCCCATTGGCCCAGGTCCTGTTCCAGCCCACCCTGGAGCCCCCCTTGATAAGGGGTCTCCAGGGGGCTGGACGCTCTCTTGGATCTTCCCTTGCCCTCCTGGAGAGTCCTCCGGGAGTCCCTGCTCCCTTGTTGTCTCTCCCCTCCCCCATCACCCGAGGCCCAGCCACGTGCTGTGTCTGGCAGCTCGAGGCAGAGCCTCAATGTATCCTGAATAAACCTCTTCCCCCAAGAGCACCACAGAGATCTCGCCTGAATCTGTCCGTGGAATACAAATACACGTCGTTACAGGGGGGATTGGATTTCATTCCATTTTTGTCATGATTATAAATTTTCTTTCAGGACCATGAATCTTACCACTGCTGATCTGAATACCCTAGATGGCTGGCACACTGCAGTAGAACAACATTTATTGTTACGAGTTCTGTGGAACACCAGAAGAATGTCAGGTTTTCTGCTGAATCTTTCTACCACTATGATTTTTATTCTACCCTGCACATTTTGTTTGCTTGTTTCTTTTCTAAAAACACAAAAAGCAGGCATCCAGTCATGGGTCTCCAACAACAAGGATGCTTCCTCATGTCTCACCAGTACTATCAAGATTTTATAAATGGTTCTGCAAATATCCCATTTGATACTTCCTCAGTGATGCTCCCAGGCTTACAGATAAATATCCATCCAAGAGTTGTATTGGATTGATGTACAAATTATCTTCACGCAAGTAAATCAGAATTCCCAGTTCAGTGTTTCAATAGTTGAATCTCCACTCAGTTGTCATAATTGATAAAATGTTCTTTCTTTGTGCATGACATAAACTTTGTACTGCCAATGCATGTGCTCTCAGGCCAGGCTCCAGTCAAGGGAGAAGGTGAACCTGCCATATGCTGGATGCTGCTGCCTGGCAGCAAGGATGCTCTGCCACACTGCATTTTCACCTGAGTCAGATCAGCTACAGGCTGACCCCCTGGATGTGGCACATGCTGAACAGTGGGTGCTGCCTGCATGTGCATTGTGGCCCTAAACAGGTCTCAGCCACCAAGCTGCTCATCTTCTTGTATTGAGGATTTTCCATTAAAATTAATTCTAACAAATACATTGTCATTTTCATGGATGCAATGTGCTTCTGAATGAGATCTAAGTTGTCTTCTAACAGTGCATACCTTTGTGATGAAACACTGACTGCAAAGTTCCAATGGCAGTATATTCAACCCTAAATATTCCCAAATTATATCAAAAATATGAGAAAGTTACAGAAATTTAATCCTTACTCCTAATCCCAACACGAGGCTAGAATAGTTCAATTTCTTTAAAGATACTGCAACAGCAGCTTTGCAGAGAATTTTTTTGCTAAATAGAGGAAACTTAAAGCTGTTCATAAAGCTGTTCATACCTGTTGTACTGGCAGTGCCAAGAACTCCAAAACCATAACATGTATCACATATAAATATACCTTGGTCATCAAAAGGTTGATTTTCTTCTCATGACTGAGAAGGAAATAGATGGAGAAAAAAACCAAAGATGGGCTACTTTTTCTATAAAATATGTTAATGGCATTATTTTATTTTTCAGCGAGAAGCAAGGATGCCCACAAAGACAGACTTTTGGGAATATTTAGCATTTATATAGGTCCTTACATGTGAGTGTGAGAGTTTACCTCAGACTGTTTAGGACATGAAAAACACAAAGTCTACAGCTGCTTGCTTATGAAGTTCAGGCAAGCCCAGGCTCACCAGCAGAGTGGTTATTTTAAGGGACTTTGGGTGACACTTCTGGCAGCTTGTAATAAAACCTTCCTTTCATACATTGGTGCTAGCAGTAAGGTTCACCATTTTCTGCTCAGAGCCTGCGTATTCAGGAAACATGGAACTGAAATTCAGCCAGGCACACACATCCTCCAGAACTGAAAGCATGGTCTGTCAGCCAAAAAACACAAAACACTAAAACACACGTTTTAAAGTCTGTCTTACTCAGCAAAACATTTGCATGCTTTTTGACACATCTCCAATGACAGCATTTCCTAAATGCTATCCTCAAGAAGTGAGGCCTCATTTCGCCTAAAGATGCAATGTACTAACCTGAATTCTCTGAATTATATGGGAGTCCAAATTCATATTTTAAAAGTCCCAGCTGGAGATTATCTGTATTTCAGGAACCACGATAACTTTACAAATCCTGACCAAGGAGTTTAATTTGCTTCTGAAAAGAGGTGCTTTAAAGATGATAAATATACAATTGACAGTAATAGAACCTCAGCATGTAATCCAGTACCTGTTGGGTCAGAAAGCAAGTCTGACACTAAAATGAGCAGCTCTTTGCTGCTTGTATGGAAATGCTGAGATCATTCCAGGTGACCCTGTGCAAAGATAAAAGGACCAACGGAGTTTTTATATGCACTATTTTCTGATTGTAAGAAAAAAAATCCTAAATGCACAGATGTGAGAAAATTAACTGGAAAAATTACTGAATAATCATACGATTTGGTGGTGGTGGTGGTGGGGGGGGGTGTTTGTTGTTGCTGTATTTAAAGATTTTCTTTAATAACAAGTATTGATATTGTAGGATGGTGCAATATATAATTTCATACTGTGCACCCTGAAATATCCTGAGATTATTCAGTTCATTTTTCTGAAAACTATTACGTATATATAAGCTACTTAATTATATACAGGAAGTTATCTTCTAGCAAACCCCTTCCACATTCTGAACATGAAAGAGTACACTAGAATATTGATAGCCCATCCACTATTTTAATGTTGGAAAACATAATCGTTTTCAGTAATGACAGGGAGTCATCAAGAAAAAAGAAAAAAATAAAGGAATGACTATATGAACTAATTTTGATTCTCTTTTGTACTGTCACATGGTGAGCAAATAAGAGCCTCACGTATGTGAAAGCAGCATTTACTCACTCTTGCAGGGAGATCACTTACCCCCGAGCTGGGATGGGCTCTTTGCTGTGACCTTTGTGAAGCCGCCCCCGCTGCCCCGCAGTTAACACGTTCTGAAGACCCTCCTTTGTCTCTGTGCCTCTGGTCACATACTAGCAGCAGGCTCTGCTACAGTGGAATTAATTAAACAAACTGCTCCAAGCTTTAATCTTTTATACAGCAGCCAGTGCAACAGAAACTATCTCATGAGTCACGTATTTGTACACATCCAGCAGACAAAATACATGTGTGAATGTGATCTACATGCCAATTGATATTTTCACCCTGTTCCAGGATAGCTGCTTCCTAAACCAACCAAGCATGAGTGAAAAAAAAAACTAATAGCAAGGACAGATATGTCCTTTTACATTGAATTCAATGATCATGGTAAAACCCGCAACAACACAGAAAACAAATCTCTCAGTATACAGAAAATTTCAAAATCACCAGCACAGAACTAGCAGACAAACACCTAGACTTCACTAGATCAGGGTTAAAATGCCACAAAGTGGTGTTCTCCCACCCCACAACCTGGGCAAGGAATGTGAGATGGTATCAGATGAAACCTAGCATTTTTATATGGGTTTTCCAGGACATCTGAAACCCCTCAGGTGAGCACGTTTTGACATCCTCTTGGCCCTTCAGTTTGCTCTCCCTGCATGGCACCAGCTCTTGGGGCCTCTACAAACATCAAAAACTCACAGGAGCACCTGGTGCAAGGTGACGGCTGCAACAGATAATGTCTTGTTAGTGGTTTATACACTCCAGCCTTCTAGCAAACATCTCCAGTTATCAGTTCAGGCCAAACCCTTCCTTCCTTCCTAAAGTAAGAAAATAGTGTCCAGGTTAGCACTGAAGAACAGCTCTGGTACCCTGGGGTATGAGATTTTACATGAGTTGGGGAGTGAGTGTGGAAAATGTTGTTAGCGAATCTCCTCTCTACCGTTCAAGAAAGGCACTTATTATTACCAGAGAAATTAGAATACTTTAAGCTCACTAAGTACTTAAAATGCAACTACTTCAAAAAGACAAACTACAACTGAAGTTTTCAGCAGTGGCTTTCAGAACCCCACCCTCAGCAAAGCAGAAAGAAAAGAAATGGGAGCTCAGCACTTCTCACAAAATAGGGCTGTGTAAAACCCCCAGGCCAAAAATACTCTTCAGAGATCCTCAGAGAACATAAAAGATCAAAACTTCAACCTCAGCCCTGTGTATCTGAATTGCTAATAGATGCTTAGTACTGTCTCCATCTGCAGTATCACACAATGAGGATTAGAGGTAATCATGTTTTTAAGTAGAGGGAGTGTTTCACATTGCCAGAAGCATCTTCAAAACTCAGATTCAGAATTATGATGTAGCATTTTCTGTCTTGCCCTGAACAAGGTTTTCAATGACCAGTTTATGAACAGCTGCACCAATACTGCGTTCTTCTTATGTGCTAAAGAACACTGGGACATTGCAAAACTACAAAGGCTTGTCCTGTCCATTTAACCAGCATGTCACATGGAGACAAAGCATAATGCAGCTCTGTGAAAAGTCCACCCACAAACTTCATTTCACACTATAAGAATGAGGCACTTGAGTTCTCTGTCTTCCTTCTCTCACAGGAGTTCACATGACAGCAACTTAAATATTTTGGCGACTCAAGAATATAGCCTTTCAAAAAGTTACCTGTTTAAAAAAAGTAGTCATAAAAGATACTGCAATATTTCTTTCTTACTCAAAACCTTTGTATTCAGTTTGTTTTAAAATGCAGATCAGTACTGAACAATAAAATAGAGTAGTTGTCATTGAAGAGAAAAGCTGTATCATGTTATTAAAACCTAACTCTATAGAATTGGAATCCACAGCACTTTGAAATGAATTAAAATGCTATCACTAGAAATATAATTTTTTTATTAATGAAACATAATGTTGTAAATTGCAAGCTAAAGTTTAAAAAACACTGCAGTATTTGTTATCAAAGAGAAGACATTTATTTTATCAATTAAACCCATAACAAAACCCCCATTATACTGACACAGCAGTACCAAAAAGGACAACCCCCTTTCCTGCATGCACACTCATGCACACATACAAACACACACTCCTTTTACCCAAAGCTGGCAGAAAAGACTCACAGATCCAAAGGGAGAGGCCAAAGGAGCAACAAACCCAAATATCAACTGTACAAAAAGACATCCCTCAGCAAAGCTGTATTTGGAAGACAGTGTCCTGCTGTTAACATGCTGTGTTCATTGAACTACACAATCATGTAGTAAAAAGAAATTAAAAGTGAAGATTTAAAACTATTATTTTAGGACTCCATTTTCCCTAAGCAGAGATGTAGGAAATGGTGAGGACTGTAGTAAAGAGATCAAATATTCCTGGAAGAAGATCTTTATATAAACTATTGAATCATTTATATTTGGTTTTCTACAGATTTTATAAGCCCCAAAATAACCCTTTTAAGCATTTAATTTCATAACAAATTAATTCTCCGCAGTGGGGAACTACAACAAACTTGGAACAATTTTCTTAAATGAAGAGACAGCTGATGGCTCAGGTTTACCAACACAGCTCATCCTCAGCCTCAGGATTCACTGACAAACTTTGCCACTGATGTCCCCATCCAGCAATCTCAACAAGGCCAACCACCTGCAGTTACCTTGAAAAAATGGAAAATATCCTTCAGCCAGGCAAAGGGAAGCCAACAGCTTTACAGTAATACCAGCAATTAGTCCAGTCCTATAACACACATGTGCCATAAACTCAAGATATTGGCAGGGTGGATTCAAGGACACAGATTAAGAACTTTTGACTAAATTCACTTTTTCTGGATGTTATTTCAACAACAGTTACACCCAGAAACCCCTTTACCTATGCAAAATTAGCACAAAATGTGGCAGTAACAGTATGAAGAATACTGACATCAGTTAGTGGTCCTGCTAAGTCATCTGTACATATGCTAAGGGCCCTGCTTTGGTCACTTAGTTTAAGCACAGGCACTGCTCCTTCCATTGTACAAGGATATTTGGCAGATGAAAACCTGCAGGAGTCAACAGACATGAGCGTTGATTTGGCACAGCCTGGTTTTTGGTAGTGGGGGCCTGCAGAGGTAGCTTCCGTAAGAAGCTGCTAGAAGGTCCCACCACGTCTGACAGAGCCAATCCTCGATGGCTCTGAAGATAGATTCACTGCTGACCCAGTTACAGAGGTTGGTAATGGCCTGTGATGACATATTTCAGAAGAAAATCAAAACAGCGCCTGCGCAGTTTCTTCCCCAGAGGTGGGAAGGCACTGTGGCCACCACCGCGGCAGTGTGGCCCGTGGCAATACGCTGCCATGGCAGCTGCCATCTCAGTGTGGCCCTTGCCTGCCCGGCCACCCCCAGCCAGCCACGCCGCGGGCAGAAGGAAAGGGATGGCAGCAGCTTCTCCTTCCCGGCCCCGCCTGACCAGAGGCGCTGAGCGGCCCCAGTGCCGACAGCGGAAACACGGCGAGCGATTCCCGGCACGGAGCCTGGCCGGGATCAACTTCTCAGTGCTGCGGGGTCCTGCAGGAACCTTTGAGTTAGGGGAACTTGTTGGCAATGGTACCTACAAGCAGCAGTTTTTCTTCTAGTCAGAGAAGAGGAGCAAGTGAGGACACATGAGAAAACATGGAGGCACCAAGGTCAATGGAAAAGAAAGAAAGGGAGGAGGTGCTCCAAGCATTGGAGCCAAGATTCCTCTGCCAGCTGTAGTGAGGACTATGGTGAAACAAACTGAGCCCCTGTGATGCATGAAGTCCATGGGGGATGCAGCGATTCACTCACAGCCCGTGGGAGAAGTGCTCATGCCAGAGCAGGTGGATGCCAGAGAAAGCTGTGATCGAGTGGGGGACCCGAATGGAGAGAGAGGGCCGCTGCTTCCAGAGACATAGAAAGAGAGCCTTTGCTTCCCAACTAGAGCAGCCTATTCTTAAAAGATTACATCCCATGGATGAGTGACCCACACCACAACACTTTTGGGACTACTGCTTGCCCGTGGGAGAGACTTCACAGCACAGCAGAAAAAAGACTCCTCTCCCTGAGCAATCGGAAAAAGATCTCAAGTGAAAACTGACCAAAACCCCTGGGCCCTGTCTCCCTGTGCTGTCAATAGGAAGAAGGGAGGGGCTGGGGGGAAAAAAATGTGTTTTAAAGGCTTATTTTACTTGTTATTATCTTCCTCTGATTCTGTTAATAATAAATTTACTTAATACCTTTAAATTTGAACATGTTTTGCCTTTAGAATGCTCTTCTCCCAGTCCTTAACTCATGAGCCCTTCATAATTTTTTTTCCCCCTCTCCTCTGCCCAACTGTAGCAGGAGAGGGTAAGTGAACAACTTTCATGGGTGTCTGGCTTTTGGCCAGTATCAAACCACAGCAGCATGCCAGTCCTCATAGTCAGGAAAAAGAGCTCATTTAAACGTCAGGACTAAATGAGGCCTTTTAAGACCCATCTCTATGACATGCAGGTGAGGACAATGAAGTTACCATAACAAACCTTGCACAGATGCAGCTGGAGCAGGGTGTGGCCATTAGAGCCCTCTGAAATCTGCAGACAGCCAGATGGGAATAGGGTAATCCCACTCTCAAGGAAAAAAAACAAAAACAAAAAAAAAAAAAAAAAAAAACAACAAAAAAAACCACCCAAACAAAAAAGAGAACATTGACATTACCAGGTGCAGCTTTAAGCAGGTGCCAGTCTTCCTCAGCTGAAGTAATTGAACAGAATTTAAGGAATGAAAAACAGCTTACCCAGGTACTTCTGAAAAATTAAGCTAGAAGATTGTGATGGGAATAGGATAAATGACAGTTCTGTTGCCTTCTTAGGAATTCTTTTGGAAAACAAACCAGTGTGAAAAATCAACAAATTAATCACTGCTGAGCTATTTTCCTCATGACTACATGACCTACACAATTAAAGGAGGGAAAGTGTTTCTTTGCAGCCAGACTGTTGAGAAACTACCCTGCAAATAAGAACACTCTCTCTATCTTCATTGCAACAGGTCTTGACATTGACTTTGTCATGTTAATTAGCCAGATTCAATCCCAGTATTTGCTTGAATCAAAGCAACAAAGATATATGAACATCACCATCAGGTAATGAAGCACAAATGCATTGACGGTCAGTGGTACTCCCTGTACCAGTTACCTTCTCGTTTTGGAAAAAAAAAAAAAAAAAAAAAAAAAAAAAAAAAAAAGAAAAAGAGGAACCTTTGGAGAAAGAAAAAACACCACTGAATAATTTAACAGAACATATTTCTCAAATACAGCAAGCTCTAGTGTTATCACAGCCAAAGAAAACTGGCAGCGGATTTGGCTGTAGCAAAGACACTTGTCTAAGTATGAAGTTTCCCATACTGTGAGTTCTGAGATACTGGGCATCACTGCACCCCTATTTGTGAAGGGTTTTGAAGCAGGGGAGCAGAAGAAATTACAGCAGCCTATAAATTGGAGCCAACATGCTTACAAGGACTATATGCTGCACATTAGTGTCTGCAGAAGATGCATAGAAGCAGACTGAATGGGTACACAGGGACATCTGCCAAGCCAAGCACAGAAATAATAGAAAAATCCAATATTGAATTCTGTGTGTTTTTTATAAGTACCTTGATGATAGAGGCCCCAAATACAGGAAGAAGTAGCATCACTTTGTAAATATGATTTTAATGCCTTTGGAAGACACTGGAGCAGTCCAAAAAGCTTGGGGAGCACTTTCACCTACCTTATTTTACCTCTTTCTCTCATACACACTCAGTCTCAAACTGCTTTACAGCCAGCTACTTATGTGCCATGTTTGAGTAGATATGTAATAGAACAGGACTGTTCCAAAGAGAGAAGGAACATGCATGAAGATACAAAAGGGGGTTGCAGGGAATGGGCATGAAATACTCTGTGCAGGCTTGCCTTATCTCCTGGGCTGCACTTTCTCTCAGAAGCTGGAGACCTGCTTTTTCTTCCTACAGCTCAGGGTGCTGAAATTCCAGCAGGAATACAGCATCAGGCTGTATTTTCCAGAACACTACTGCAGCCCCACCTCCTTTCCTGAGGTAAGATATGCCTTTACTACTGATTAATTGATTCCTAAGAGCATGAGAGCTGAACAATATATACATTTACACAAACTATACTATATAGTGTGTGAAAGCAAAGCAAAGCTTTGAACCCAAGGCAGCAGCCTCTGAAGGAACCAGATGGGCTCATGAATAGGTGGAATTACAGGTCACAGAGATACAGTGGAATTCAGCATCACAGTGTACATCTCTGACAAAGTTTTCACAAAAACTATCTCAAGGTAACAAGGGTTTATGAAAGTAAAACCACCAACAGCATAGCAATGGGCAAGAAATTTGATTGTAACCTGTAAATCTAACATCAAAGGTCTTACAAAGCCACTGATGGCAGGTGGACACTTAACATAAATGCGATATTGTATGCCTAATATAAACATCTCTCTTAATCTCTTCTTTCACATGCATAAGTAACTCATACTGAATGTAAATGCCATATATCTAGTAAACAATTAATTTATAATCATCTTAAAATGTATTTTTATAGTATTTTTTTAAAGATCAGATAATGCAAAGAAGAAGAGATAAAAAGGATACAAAGGCTTACCTAGGTGATAATTTGAGTATCCTACTGATAGCTTATATAACATAATGGAGTTTATAAAAAAAAAAAAATTAACAGTATGTAAGTGAGAAAGGATAAGTAGTGTGATAGGATCAAGACTAAAACTCAGGAAATCCCCATTAAGGCAGTTCATCCCAAGTTTACCATTGTATAAAACAGCATAAGAGAGTTTACTCTTGGGTATACAGTATACAAGTATATCAAACAGCTATAACATAAAAGTATAATATTCTCTTTCCAGTACAGATGTGTTAAACCATTGGTTTTGGCTCCAGATGTGATTTTTACTCCCACCAGACTCTGGGAAAGGCCACATCCTATGTTTTGAACTTGTCATTTCGGGACATAAAATGAGAACTAGTTATGAAATTCACTTTCCAAAACCTGCAGTAGCCAGCATAATAGGAATTCTGAATTTACAACACTACCTCTATTCTATAGCTTGTTGGGCAAGCTTGACTTCAAAAGTTGAAGGTTAGGCCAGGACAAGCTGGGCCTTCTGATGTACGTGTGACAGTGTCTGGTGTCACAAGCAGCCTTATGCCTTAGACAGGCCACACTTTCAAAAACTGCTTTCATTTTCCCTCCACCCCTAGAGAGCACATTAAATGCACACACACCATGGAAAATTCAGCTTAGCAATAGAAGCTAACAAAACATGAAAAGTTATTACTGGTAAGCCCCTAACAGGAAAACTACCCTGGCCTTCTTAATGCCATGCTGGTGTATACACATGGACATATATCTAAGATAGTCTAGAACAATTTAAAAAGAAATGTTTGCCTCTACTTTTTATTTGTTAGCATGTTTGTGACCTACATTACAGGACTGGTAATTTGAACAATCCAAGAGGATCTTTGGGGAGGGAAGAGCAAGACGTGCTAAATACAGTGTATACTTACTATCTGCATAGGGGCTTCTCACATCTTGTCAGATCTTCCTTCTCACTTCTCATTTGACACTGTTTCTATGATCTCAGGTTGTTGGAGTAGGTAAGAGACACAGCAAACAAATTATTGACACATTGATGCATCCCCAGAAACTACTATTCCCACCAGATTTCCAAGAACATTCCTGAAAAGTTTAGTCTGAAAACCAGATAAAATATTTTAAACAAGAAGAAAAAATGTTTGTTGCCTCCTTGTAGCCTGGGCAGGCTCTAAAATAGCTGTGCTGGGGCCTGCTGATGGAAGGTTGTTCCCTGGCTGGTGCTTGGTCCCTGGCAGCCTGAGGAATGACTCAGTGGTGCCATATCCTGGTCCAAATGTCTTCATTGGTGCAGATATGTGGCACAGCAAAATACCATTGTGTTTGTCCTACCTTACAAACTGTAACCGAACTATTCAAGTTACTCCTTCTAGCCTTCAGAGCAACCCATCAAATCAGAAACTTATGGATGGTAAGGTTTTTGTCCAGGGAAGAGAACTGGAAATAAACACTGGAGTCAGAAAGGCATTTTCCCCTTTTTATTGCTATCTACTACCACTGCAACGACCTGGGACATTTCTGTGGCTCTAGTTTGGTGGCTTTTGATATTTTACACTAATGATCTCTCTTTCATAAGATGGTGCTAGAAAGTTTCATTCCTTTGGAAGAGAAAAAGGAATCTAGATGGATATTTTGTCCAGTCAGAACTACAAGAACTTGGCAAGTTTGTTGGCATAGAATGACACATAATTATATAATTTTTGTTAATTTTTAAAATGTTACACTCAAGGAGAAAACATACTTTCAAAGAACAGTCTCAGATACTACAGGGAGAGAAAGACAAGTATATAAGCAAGGAGAAATATATAGAACCTGAAAAGCCACTTGAGTAAATTTACTCACAGGATCAGTCCCACAAACCAGTTCCTGAACTGCCTATTTGTGGCTCACATGCAGGCTACTTGGGAAACACAGATAACAGTTAAAATATTCTTCCCCAAAACTGGCCAAGGATCTTTGTCTCCTGGATGAGGTTTAAGCTTGTGCTGAGCTCTTAAAAATTACAGCGATTATTTTCAACAAAAGAATTATATGAAGAACAAAAATTAAAGGTAGAAGGAAGCTCCCACATGCCTGTAATTCCAGATATAAAATATTTTTATTTTAGAAAGGATTCATGTTACAAAACCACCTTAATTTGCTTTGCTATTACACGGTTTAATGTTTTTTTTTACTTTTTTTTTCACTCACCTTCTGAAGAAAGAAAAAGTAAATGAAAACAAAAAGCTGATAGTGAAATACATTATGAAATATGAAGAATCATGGGACCAACTGACCACTCCAGTGATTAGGAAAACTGTAAACTATTTAGAGAGCAGTTTTCACTGCTCTTCATTAGCGTCTGATTACCTCAGCCATTAACATTTGGCTTTTATTATGATGATTGTGAAATACTGTTCACACTAATGGACAAAAGAAAGTTGACATGGCTATCTTGATTAACTCATCAATAATAATTTGGAATAATTTTTCTCCATTCACTGGATGAATCATTCACATAATAATAATGCACATTGTTGTATAGTAAATTAGCATGAAGATTACCCACCCCTGGGAACTACACTGTACTTCAAAGTATTGCTCAAAAGATATTTCAAATTTGAATTTTACTTTAAAAAAAAAGGAAATATCAGAAACAATGACTTCTTTTTGACTGTTCACTACATCAAGACATACACCTCTCAAGTTATGCAACTGAGCTCAGCCTTTAAGCCACCAGATACTCAATATGTAAAAAAACACACTCCCCACCTATTTGCATTCTTCTTCAGAGAAAGCAAAATTCTTGTTCTTCATAAGACAAATATAAACTTGAATAATAAACTGACTAAAATGAAGTCATCCTTACCTAAACAGATAAGAATATAACCAAAGTCCACCAGGCTCTTTGTGGATCCAGCCTTGCAAACTTCCACTCACATGAGCTTTCATAGGCAATGTGACTGTGAACTCAAACCCTACTCATGGAAGTCAGTCCTATCTCCATGCAAAAAAGCCCTGGCAAGTCAGCTTCTTGCTGAAGATTGTCTGTGCAGAACAGGAGGTGAGGCACTGCTGGCTCTAAGCCAAGCATGCCATGGTTCCCATGGCAGGTGATGACCCACCTCAGCTCTTCGTAGCAGCAATTTTCACATGCCTCAGACAGGTAACTTGGTGAAAATGCAGTGACACACACCTCCTTGCCAAAGCCAACATCAACAGTCCAGATGATTCTCAACATTCTCAGTTCCCTTCTCACTGTGTCTTACTCCACTTCTCCCAGAATCACCACTTCATTTCTGAAAGTGCATCAAGCAGTAGTCTTAACTTTTAGCTCTTTGCTGTTGTAATTGGACCTCCGGAGCTCTGAGGAAAAGCAACCTGCCTCTTTCACCTTCCTGGCTCTACCTATCCACCTGCCAGCAGCAACTACCCTGAGTCAGGTGTTAACAATCCTGTGCCCCTACCACAGCCAGTGACAGAGGGGCAGGAAGAAGGTAAGACAGGGTAGATGTATATAAAGCAGCTTCCTAAGCCAGGCAGGGCACCCTTGCACTTAGTAGATAGATTTTTTTTCCCATTTTTCTAATTGTTTTTAGAACATGTAAGCCTGTAACAATCCACAGCATCCCATGGTGGTGACTTCCATGGTGGTAACACTGTGGGAAGAAGTTACTACTTTTGCTTGTTTTCAGTCTGCAGCCTGAGGGTGTTTTCTAATGGCTCCTGGGAGTTGTATAGGAGACAAGGAACAGTAATTCTCAATTCAATTTTTTCATGGATTTTACAGCTTTCTGTAATCCCTTCCTCAATTCCCTCTCTTCTGTGCAGAGAAGTGCTAGCCATTCAACTTGAACTCATGGTTAACTGCAATGATCAAATTGTTTTTCTATCTTGTTTCCTGCTCTTTTCCTGATATTGTGTGGCTTTTGCCTGCTACTGAGCACTGATTAAATGTTTGCAAGAGCTGTGATAATGCCATCATGACAGTAAGCAGTTCAGAACCCATTACTGTGCATGCAGCATCAGGTGTTTTCCCCATGTACCTTAATTTAAATTAATCTATACTGAATGTCATCTACCTTTTTAATTTCCTAGACATTCTATAGGATGAAACTGTTCTATATATAATTTAAAACCTTCATTCTTTCCATATCTTTAGTTAACTGCCCTAATAATGTCACATCAGTGAATACTCTCACTACACCACCACTCACCTTATAAGTGATTATGAAGATGTAGAACAGCCCTCGTTTCCAAAGGACTCTCCTGTGATGTCTCTTCATTGAGCAACCTAATAATTTATTCCTGCTCTTTGTTTTCTACCTTTAATTAACTCCTTTATCCACATTAAGTTCTTCCATCTTTCACAGTTCAGCTTCTTTAGGAAGCTTTGGGGAGGAGCCGAACTAAAAGTCTAAAACTGGGGAAGAGAAGAAAACCACTTCCATTTCTTTATCTCCCATTTTCCCTCTTTCAGACATGCATCTCAGTTATAATCTGCCACAAAAGCAATCTTTTTTAAGACTGTTGTTTTTTTGTCTTTTTGTAAATGGTCATTCTTAAATAGCAAGTTCCCAGCAGCTGCTATACAAAATATATATTGGCAACAAAATCACCTAACATAATTTCATTAATTCACCCATTGCAGAACTATTTCACAGGATGGAAGTTACTAGTGGGAGTGGAGAAGGAGAATAACATTTGTTTGACAGTAAAGATTAATTGGAAAATGAACTGTGTAATGGATGCTTGTGGAGGAATAACTAACATAATGGAATATTTGGGGTATTTTCCTCTTTATGTACAGTAAATCTATATAAATCCCCCGCTCATTGAGTTGAGCATAAATCCGACATAAATATTGAAACACCTTTTATAGTTACAATGGGAAACACATCTTCCTGTTGTTTCCAGCTGAAATAGTGCTTATGTGCTCTTTTCTCTGGGAGCTTTCTGTGGCAGCTCTTTCAGCAGGCCGAAAGTGCTGCAGAGCCAGGAGGGCAGCTGTTCATCTGGTGCACATTCCCAGCACAACGGCTCCAGCAGGAACATTCACACCTCCAGCCAACGCCGTTGGCATCGATGCTGCCAGCAGGATCTGGGAGATTTCCGCTCTCTCGTGCACCTATCGTATGACAGTGCCTGAATCGTGTAGGTTTGCCATTTCAGGAGACACAATTCAACATCTCTGGAGTGTGTTCTCAAAACTCAAGAATATAAACAGAGGAAATGACATGTGGTTTTATGATCATTGCTATAAAACATTTTATCAGCTGAGGGACGGTGTTTCAAGCTGCAATATATATTCATATGAATAATTCTTAGTTAGCTGGGTAATTCTCTCAATTTTATTAGGTTTTATTTATTCTAGATTCTTAACCATTCCAGGCCAGTGCAGTTTGGGTAGAGATCTTGCCTAGAAGCTGGATATTGATCCTAGAGAGGCAAAAATACATTTTACTGCCATCAGCCTCTAAGATTTGCAAAAAGAGAAATAATTTCATTTTCTCAGTCTTTTTTTCCTAAAGTTTGAGGAGACAGGTACATTGCAAACTCGTTACAGAGGGAAGGGAGAAGAAACAGTGAAATTAAGACTTAGATGTGTAATTAAGGGTTCTGATAAAAGAAAAAAAAAAACAAAAACAAAACCAAAAAAACCCACAAACCTAAGGCATTTAAATTCTTGCAGCTAATTAAAATTTCCCACCAAAATGCAGCCTTTACACAAGGAATATAGAATTTAGAACAAAATTCTATTTTCCATTTGAAAATTGTTTTGACTGAAAAACTTTCATCAGTTTTACTGGGCCAGAAAAGA